TCGTTGTTGTGTTGTTGTTGTTGTGTTGTTGTTGTTGTTGTTGTTGTTGTTGTTGTTGTTGTTGTTGTTGTTGTTGTTGTTGTTGTTGTTGTTGTTGTTGTTGTTGTTGTTGTGGCTGCTGTGTGTTTGGCTGCTGAGGTTCATCTCGTGGATCCGCGGGATCCACCCGATAGCCGGTGCGTCTGAGAATGAGTGATGAACGGATGAAAGACGGTGTAGTCCTCCCAATTGCATTTTGATGCAGGCAAGACCGAAATTCTGTTCAGCTGATGCCACAATGGAAGGTCTTGGATCTTAACAGCTAGTCATGTTGAACTCCTTGCCAATGGCTTCCAGTTCTTTCCTGAGAAGGTCAATCACCGTCACCAGCGCCTCAAACAACACCCCAAACAGTCCCCAGCACCCTGCCATCAATCTCGCCGCGCCACTCGCGCTGTGATTAGGCCCTCGCAACAGCGCCAGCACTCCCAAACTGCAGGCGTCCCAGCACCCTACCGTACATCGCACACAAGCCCACACCCGCCCCCAGCACTCCAAACCTGCATGGTTCCTAGATCCAAACAGCCCCCAATTTTGCAACACCGTCCAAACAGCACCCTCGAGAAGGTACACTTCGTTGTCAAGCGGTTTCACCTTCAGGTGACGAGGGATGATGTGCGCAAGATCCTGGCAGAACTGGTAAGGATAAATCTGTGCCAGCTTTGTCCTGCTTCCGAAAGTGCCAGCATTTCCCACAACCTGATGCTGGTGTTTTTCCGAACCGGTAAAATGGGTACATTTTCGAAAATCGGTCTCATTGCCTCGGGAGGCCTGAAACTTCTGAGTCCGGATTCAGGATCCTTCAGTCCGTGTGGACAGAAATGAAAATCTCCCCAAGTCACGGATGGATCTGAAAAGAGTTGCTGCACGCACTGCAAATACCAGATCCTGGATGTCCAAGGATTCTCAATGATGAAGTATATTCTGTGCTTCAACTGATTTCGCGCAATCAATGCCACGATTATAGTGTTGGTCTTGTTGGATGTTCTGCTTATTTGACAGACTGGCGCCATGAGGATGAGATCAGGTGCTTGCTCCTTGATGATCGCCATGACCGTGTGTCGTCCCTTGGATGTCATTGTTGATGATCCTGTCTACTGCAGATCCTGAACCTGATTCTTCATCTTTTAGCGGTCCACAGGTTAATCAATTGTCTTCTCGGATGTCTGGATTTCCGCCCTTGGATGCATCAATGGTTTTTGTTGTACTGATGTCATCATCGTACACATAGTTTGTGAGGCCTCTTGCAGCAATCTAGCATGTCCTGTACCGGATACTGGAACTGCTTGGCGATCCATGCCAAAAGCCTTGCATGTGATCTTGTCACATTGAGGCGTGTGGTCAATGGTCATGTAGAGGCTCCGCATCTGGCTGATGCTGAGGAGGATCGGTACCGCGCCTTGCTCAAGGATGTCGATGTTGGTACTGGCTGGAGGAGTCGTGTGATATTTGAGATGCTCCATTGGCAAATGTGAGCTTAGTCTCGGCCGTCTTTCATGGGTTCGATGGCCTGAGTAAAACGTTGGATTGCGGCATATGTAGGCGCTGTGGATGGTGCAGTCTGCTGGTTGGCGGGCTGCTCCTCCATATTCTCTGCTGTGGCTGTGAACGTTTTGAAATTTCCTTTGTCATGTCCGCCTTTTTGTTTGTCATTGTCATAGGATGGAAATCCTAGGGATCCATCGTACAAATACTTGAACTTCGATTTTCGTTTCTTCCCTTTCTTTTCTTTGCCTTTTCCCCAATATGCCTGGTCGTAGGGATCCTGATTTTCGTTGGCCATATTTCCCGCCGGGGCCACTTTTTCGAAACGGTTTGAAGCCACCGCGTTGGTGACTGCCCTTTTTACTTCTGGATTTTCTTTTTTCCTTTTCTCTTCTTGAATCTGAAATTTCGCCCAGGCATTTTCCTTGCAATGAACGCATCATTCTCCTCCAAAATTGGTTGCCATGAATCCTTCCAGTCCTTCATCCTTCACCCAGAAACCTTCTTCGCCCCTTGTTCTAGGACGTGCAATTTACCTCGTTTTTCTCCGAGAGGTCGGATGGATAGATCTTGGATGGATGTTCTTGTTGTAACGAAGAGATCGTGGTACTGTGTCTTCATCATCTCGTAGGTGTAACTCTCGAGCAAGATGTTTCTCAAAGACATTGCGCTGATCAGTCTTTCTCTCTGCTGATCTGACAAATCTGCATGCCGTTGAGGTGCTGCCTGAGTACTTCTGGATTGTCTATGGGCAGCAGATCTTGACCGGCTGCTTGCCTTCTTGCATTGGCGTTGTGCGCTGATGCTGTGAACTGGTGACTGTGCCGTGTGAACATGCATCAAGTCCATCCAGGCTGCCTTCAATCTCATTAAGAGAATCTCAAATTTTGATGTGAGTATGAGGAACTTGGTGTTCTGCCTTCTGTGATTGAAGAAACTGAGAAGTCTGTATAAGTACACGTTCGTAAAGCCCTTCAGGAAGAACTTCAGCGTGTTCTCGAAATAGTTGACTCCTTCAGCAGGATCTTGCAAAAGGTCATTCTGGAGGACTGCCTTACATGTGAGCGTCTCCGCTGAGTCTGCTCTTGAGGAGTGGTCCTCTCTTGGATGCTTCGATGGTGGTGAAGGTCACCCACTACGAGTTCTTCATACTTGGCGGTCATTGATAAATTGAGCGTCTCTTCAGTGAAGCCGGATGATTGGCCTACACTTGAATAGGCCTCCATGAAGTCGGATGACATCTTGTTTGGATCTGCGGAAAACCCGCTCCGCTACCACAAGCTGAGTCCCACTGCCGGGGTATCTTATCCTTGAAGGGAACCGATACCTTGTGGTAGTAGAGGATCCTTGCTTTGGTAGGTCTCTGCATCTATTCCGGAGAGTTCAAGTGTCAATACTGATGGATTGATACTGGATTAGCACTGGTAGATTGTATATTGTGGATTACTCTGAAAGTGGTCCGCTTGTAGTACCTTTGCATCACGGATGCAATGGCTCAGTGAACTATGTACAAAGAGTATGTGACATGAAAGGCCTAAACACAGGCGTTTTAGAAGATCCCAAAGCTTCCCGGCCCTGGGGCCAAGGCGAATATAAACACTATTGTAGTCCTTGTGTATGCCATTCAATACGACCAATACTCTCATTAAATAAAAGCCTGCCTCCTTTCTTTCTTTGCCTGTGTTCTGCAGTGGAGGAACTTTTTAACTTTCCCTTTCATGAGGACCTTTAGTCGACTTTGGGCCCAAGTGGATCAACCCACCTCTTCCAGGCTCCAGCTGACGGGAGCTTTGGATGTCGACCACTTGCTTACGAACTAGCGTGTGTTCGAAGAGCATTTCTTTTTTTAAAGCAGTGGTGATGCTGAAGGTGCCGTCGACTTTTGCCAACAAAGACAGCCCAAAGCAGACCGAGTCATGTCGAGCTCGAATAGTACAATGTCGTCATTCACTATGTAATCGAGCAACACCAAAAAATCAATTTTGGAGAAGGCGACATCATCTTCTAGCAAGCGGAGCACATTTTTTTCCTGAAACTGTGGGTGTCGACTCGACCACTCTCATCGACAACGGCCGTCCAAAGCAGGCCGAAGCATCTACTTTTAGTAGGCGGAAGACAAGTCTCTCCACTAAAACACCAGTGATGCTGGGGGTGCCGACTACGTTGGCTTACGGACGAGAGCGACAGCAGCCGCCAGCAAAGCATCCCTTTGATTAAAGCGCTGGTGATGCTCGGGGTGTCGACCACTTTGTCTTGACCGCTTTAGTCATCAAAGACTGTCAAAAGGAACACCGAGTTATGTTGGGTCGGGCTTCCAAGATGCAATTCCATAATTGGTTTTGTAAGTAACTTTGATTGCGTCGAATGCTTGGATTGGTGGGATTTCAAGGCCTAGAGTGACCCTCCAGAGCTGACCACCAATTCGGATCGATTTGGCAGAATGCGCCGTGTGTACCCCATTTTGGGGGAAGATAGGCCTCTGGAGCTGCCTGCGCCACGCTTCGTCGCGCGACTCTTCGCGCGTGGCCTCGTGGATCGGCGGCCCACATCTTAGGCGACACGGGGGACACGGCCATGTAGGGAGAAGCCTCCGGCAGGCGTTTTGGGGTCAGACCAAAGGAAACAGCGCAGTTTCCTATTTTGAGACGAATCCATGTCGCGTTTCTTTGAAGCTGACAGCCTTTCTAAAGGGAAGCCAAAAGGAGTGCCTCTTTTGGCTTGGGTTCAAACACCTATTTTGACACATACCCGTACGTCACTTCATTTATCACCACTGGAATTTTTGGTAGATGCTACAACATGTTGGACACGTGTGTGGTCTATTTTGCAAGCTCCGTTTTCGGTGTGGGAATCTCAGGAGGGTTGCGCACTCTGACCCCTATTTCGATCTCGAGCTTTGGTTTGTGGGGTTGAGACGTAGAGCGTTTTGAGTTGCAAGGGTTTCAAACTTGCGAGTCTGAGGCGCAGCACGTCAAATTTGGCAGTGTTCAGGCGCACGCGTGTCACGTTTGTCTTCCAAACAGGTGTTTGCCATAAAGCTTTCGGTGATAGTGCAACAACAAATCACCAACATGCAAGCACATATGCAGCACCAGGCGCAAGAAGCGCGGACACCGAGTCAAAAAGCCAAGAAGGTGTTGCAAAGAGGGCGGACAAAAATCTACACATGGGCGCGTGCCCAGGACCGGGGTGAGCTTGAGCATAGTAGGCGAGGGTTGGACCAAGCTGTGTGGAATGTGGCCAAATGGGCCAAGGAGGATGTTGGTCAAGCCGACCGGATCGTTTCTGCAAACCTCCGGGGCGTCTTTTCCTCCTTCAAAGCATTAAAGGGTCTGCGGGAATCGGTTCATCCGCATGGTCAACACGTGAAGTGCACATCTCATGCACCCCCCCTTGGCACTTTGTGCCAACAGCCAAAATGTATGGCTTTGAGCTTCTATACTGCTCTCGGCCACCTTGCGCTCATTGGCGCCAGCTCAAGACCCCACCTCCTGCTTCTTCTTGAAGATCGTGAAACCCACAAACTCCCTCAGTCCAGACCGCGACCCCACCGTGTAGTCGCCGCCCAGCACAAAGACAGGCCCTGACGTCCTCATCACCGTGATCTTCTCCGGCCCGATCTTCTCCTTCGGCTTCCTTGGATGAGGATGAGATCGTGATCTGGGAGGATGTGAAGAAGATCTTCCCGGGCATCATGAAGGAGCCGGTGGGGACAGAAGACCACTGGTTGGAGAAGGGCGGCTACTACATCAAGATGCATTGCAGAAGGAGGGTCTCTGAGTTTGACCCACGGAGGGGCTGCCGCGAAACTCTTCTCCGGTGCCAACCCGGTCTGCCTCGCTTCTCCACCTCCGGCTTTCCAGCCTGCATTTCTCTCATGCGAGTTCCCGGCTCTGTCAACCTCTTTCTCGAGCCCGTCTGCAGCACCACTGCTGCCCGGCCTTCCTCCTCCTTCTGTGCTCCGTTCCTGCCTTTCCTCGGAGCTCTCTCTTTCTGCCCTTTTCTCAAGCAACCTCTGCATTGCCCTCTCCTTGCCACCCTGCATGGTCTTCACCTTCACTCCACCTCCGGTAGTTGACGCACCGCGTCTGCTGCCCTTCTCGCACTCCACTTCAACGCCTCCCACGCGGCCACCACCGCCACCAGAAGCGCCGTCCAAAACAGAAGCTCCTCCCGGGAAGCCTCCTCATCCTCCATGCCAGCTGCATCAGCCAGCATAATGCACGTGATGCCCGTCAAGACCTTCAGGCCTCGCTCGTGCTCAATGCTGTGCACCACCCTCACCTTGGCCGCGTTCCCCTCCCCGACCTCCACAAGGTTCTCGTCCTTCTCCGGGATCGCGTCGCTCTCGCCCATCTTCATACCCATCATCTCGGCCAGTGCTCTCAAGCGAGAGCTTCCCAAGGCCTTGGTACCGATGTCCGCCAACATCGTCTCGCCCGGCAAGTGTTGCAGCGCCCAGAAGCCATTCTCAAATCTCTCCCTGGCTGACCTGGCCCGGATCTTAAGTGGCCTCGTCCTCCATGACCCACCCGGGCCCTGCAGTAGCGTGACAGCTGCAGCATTGTCCTGCATCATCACCAGCTTCAACGACTTCAGCTGGTCCCGTCCTTCCACATCGATGCCCGCCCTGTCCCACACCGATGCGACCTTCCTGTCCTCCATGTCGGCGATGATTTCCGCCCAGGCTTCCCCTTGCGGCACCCCCTCCATGGCTGCCAACAACTCAGCCTCCGCGGTCGATCTTGCCACAAACGGCTGCCGCGTGCTCGTCCAATGGATTGGGCAGCCACCATAACATACGATGACCCCCTGCTGCGAGCGGCCTCCATCCGGCCCGAAGCCTGCGTCCGCGTAGACCTCCACGGTGTTCATGCCCCTCTCATACACGTACTCCCCATTCTCCCCGTGGCCCTCCGCCGCGGCACCGAACTCCAACTTCGAGGAAGCCCAACAGGTAGATTCCCATGTCATAGGCCCGCCTCGCCTGCCGCGCGATCAGCTGGCTGATGCGATTCACGCCATAGCTGATGTCTGGCCTCGTCCGGGTCGCCCACAGCAACTCCCCCGACAGCGTCTGCGCTCTCCGAACCATCTCCATGTCCTGCTCCTCGTCCTCCCCGTCCCTCTCGATCTCCTTCGGTACCGGGATGAGCTTCTCCTTCACCTCGCTCCCGTACCGGTTGATCACATCCTTGATGTAATCCTCCTGCCCCACCAGGATTTCTCCACCTCCTCCTGGTTTCACCATCACCTCCACCCCGCAGAACTTCAACGCCTTTTCGGTGTTGGCCCACTCCAGGTCCGTGGCGTCCCACTCCTTCTTGATGTGACCAGCCATCACCTCCACGATGCTCTGCTCTCCGATGATCATCATGTCGTCCACGTAGCAGCAGATGAACCCCGCCGTGGTCTTCCCCAGTTTGATCTTCCACAGGTTCTCATCGGCAAAGGCCTGCTGCAGTACCAGCACCTGTCCCCCACCAACGTCCACTTTCCACCTCCTGAGAGTGTCATCCCGGTGCGCCCCCCAATCGGCTGGTGCCCATAGAGCGCCTTCGTCACCTCCCACATGATGCCCGGCTCCACAACCTTCGCATCGATGAGGATCCTCGGCGGTCTCACCACCACCCGATGGGCCGACCTCCTCGGGGCGTTCAGGAACGCCGTCCTGATGTCCAAGCTGCCCACCGACCACCTCATAGCCGCCGCCTTCCGGAGCAGCGCACGAACAGTGCCAGCCTCCACCCCGGACGCGTACACGTCGGCTCCTCCTTCCACCTCCTCCTGGATTTGGTTGCCGCAGACGACCGCGCGGCACTTCCTCCTTCCATCACCTGACTTGCGGGTGAACACCGCTTTTCCTGGCGCTCTTTGCACCGCCTCACCTTCTCGCTCCCATCTGTCTACCTCCTCTTCTCTCACCTCCCGTATGGCCGTCTTCTCCAACAGCGCACCGACCTCCTTTTTCATCGTCGGCACCCACAGCTCCATCTCTCTCCTCACCTGCTCCAGACCGATGATCTTCGTCTGGAGAAACATCTCCTCTTCCGCCACCACATCCATCGCCCTCAGACCTGCCTTTGGGCGTTCTCCACCATCTCCTCCACCTCGGCCCACTCCTCTCCAGTGCCCCCCATCTCCAAGTCATCCATGACCAACTCAAGGCACCGATCCTTCTCTTGCGACCATACCACCTGCTCGCATCGATCCAGTCCTTCCCGACCCCTACCCACTCCGGGTCCAAGGACACTTCCACCTGCTCCTCACTTCCTTCAACCTTACCGATCCTCGGCTCCTCATCAGCTCCTCCAGCCTCCTCATCTTTCTGCTTTCCTCGCAGCCTCCTTCTCCTGGTCCATAGCTCACCCACCACCGGGATGTCCACCTTCTGGTCCCTCGGCTCTGGCACGACCTGCGACACCGTGTAGATGCTGCCCCCTTGGTCCATCACCCTCAACCCGAAGGTCATGTCCGGGCACGGCCCCACATAGGTTGCGTTCTGCGTGATCGCCTCCCAAGCCTCTCTCTTCCATCTCCTCTTCTTCACCACCACCTTTTGACCGAAGACCGGCAGCTGCAGCTGTGGAGAACCCATCTCTCGCATGATCTTCCGATTCCTGATCTCCACCGCTTGCAAGGCTGCCCCATGCCACAAATTGGCGTTGGCCCCCGCCGCAGCAGCAGCGCCCGCGCTTTCCGCTTCACCCAGCCAACCGCTGCCTCCGCCCGGCCATTGGTCCTCGATCAGAATGAAGCCTCGTCACCTCGAAACCCCACCACCAAAGCTTGGCAACCATCGACTGCGTCGCCGCAATCACCTCCGCTGCTCTCCTGGTCCTCAGCGGCTCCACCAACATGATGGTCCTTGTGACCGCACCTTCCAGCCCCCCCGGAGCTGGATGCTCTTCTTCCCTTCTCTCATCCTCCTCGCCTTCTACCCTCACGGCTCCTCTCTCCTCACCTTCTACCCTCACCTCTCCTTTATCTTCACCTTCTATCCTCAAGGCCCCTTCCTCATCAAACATCTCCTCAAACGGGTCCTCACTCGGGTCTTCTCCTTCTCCCCCGGCTTCCTTCTCCACTTCGTCTTCCTTGGCCATGTTCTCCGCCACCGCCGTGACATAGGAGCCCACCAACAAATAGCGATGCCCCTCCTTAGATTTCTTGAACGGACCCGTCACGTCGATTGCCAAAGTGGCCAAGGCCGGGTGACTTCTCTTCCTATGGCTCCTTCCTCTGAGCCCACCCTGGATGCAAGCCCTGCAGTCTCGGCGAAATGGGGTATGGCCATTCTCGACGTGGCTCTTCCACATTTCCTCCGCCGATGCCTTTGCCATTCTTGACGCCGCCACAACCTGTCTTTTGATCACCTCATCCAGCGCCGCCACCGACCCCGGCGCCCATTCTGCCCAGCTGCTAGATTCGCGGTTCCCCGCTCCTCCAACTCATGCCGTCCAGCTGCCGTAGGTCCTTGATGCTGGTCAGCAGCATCGTCGGCTTCCTCTTTATGTGGCCCATCGCGCCCTGGTCAAACTTCACCCTGATGAGTCCCAGCACCTCCTCCAACGCCGTGACCTCCGGCCAGTCCCAGATCGAAGGCGGTTCGCCCCCCCGGGCCTTGGCCTTCTCCCACTCCTCTTCACTAACAAAGCTCCTCGGGTCCTCCGGGTGCTCCTTGACCATCCATGCCTTCAGACCCACCAGCTCCCGGCCACCGTTCGCCAGCACCGCCAGGATCCACATGCGCAGCATCGAGACACTGTCGCCCTCCACTTTCCTTGCTTCAGCGTCGCTCAGCTCCTCATAGCCAAACCGCTCTTCTCCTCTTCCTCGGACCGGATACGGGCCAGGCTCAAAGTGCCGGCAGTAGGAGTACGTCCTACACGGCGGTCCACCCATGACCCCCTCCGTCCTTCCTTCCGCCGCCAAACCAGCCAGGTACCCGAAGGTGTCCTCCTCCAGCAAATCCTGGCCCGACAGGATATCCACCGCAATGACCTCCCTGTCCCACTGCCCGTAGTTGAACTTCTTCGCACTCTTCCCGGCGAAGAGATGCAGGATCAACCCTGTCGCCTTGGCATGCCTCCTCCTCGCCGCCCGGTTCCAGGCGATTCCCCTTCCTTCTCCTGTGCCCAGGGCCCTCTCCAGCAGCGCCACCGGCACCTCCGGGAAGAGCTGCTCGAACTCCCCCTTCACCTTCTCCATCTCTCCTTTCTTCCATGCCTCCGCCACCCTGCCGCACAGGCCCTTCTTGACGTCCGGCTTCCTCATGCTCTTGGTCGCCGCTGTAGCCGCCCTCCGGAGCAATCCCTTGTTGAACTCCTCCAGCTCCTCCACCAACCTCAGAGCCACCTCCGTCGGGACTTCCGGGCAAAACTGCCTCATCCTCACCGGCAACGGGCCTCGGCTCGCGTGCTCGATGCAGCAGATACCCTCCTCCCAGCGGATCCTGTAGCCCAGCAGGTACAACGCTCCAAGCGGCACAATGACCTGCGTGGCTTCCTTGCAGATCAAGGTGTGACCCTCCGTCATCTGCATCACCACCTCCCGGCCATCCGCAAGCTCCACCATGCGGTCCGTCTCACCCTTCCGCGCTTGCCTGAGCGCATGCGTGGCCCCTCCATCAAGAAGCCCCCAACTTTGGCACTCCCCGATCTTTGACAGCCTCGCCGCCTTGAGCTTCTTCATCCTGAGGCTCTTCAACAGCTGCGTCGCCTCCGCCATCAGCTTGTCCTTCCCACCGGTCTCCTCGACGGCGACCTCCTCCATTTCTTCTTCCACCACCGCTCCTTTTGCCGATCCAGGCTGTCCCACACGTGGGCAAACTTGCAGTTCTTGCCAAACCTGCAACCCGCGTCGGTCGCGTACCATTTGCACGCCCTTGACAAATCCACCACCCTCGGCTTCCCGGGAGTCCCACCACCACTTGATGGCTTCCAGGGTCCAGCCTCCTCCTTTCCTGCACCACCCATCGCCTTCACCTTGGGAGCGGCCTCCTTGCCGCCCTTTGCCAACTCCGCCGTTTCCGACTCCGCCTGGAGGTACTCCGCGAAGCTCTCCACCGCTTCCTGAGTCGGCCTCGTGTCCAGGTTCAGCTCCGCTCTCACCGTGGACATTCGATAGCTGCTCTGCTGATCCAGCTTCGACAGAGCCGCTGCGAACTTGTCCAGGGCAGACACCAACAACGTGGCATCCGGCAACGCCACTCCAAGCTCCAGCGCCCTTTTCCTCCAGTGCCTCCACGACCTCAGCTGCTTAGCCACCCGCCCTTGGTGTCCAGCAGCGCGTTCAGGATCTGCTGTCTTTCAGAGGCTCCTCCTGGCTGGTACAGAATGTACAGGCGATAGATGATGTTCACCGCCACCAGCTCCTTCTTGACGCTCTCCGGGAGCGCTTTGAGGACCATGGCCACCCCTCCTTGCCTCCATGCAGACCGGCGGAAGCTCCGGCTTGATGCGCAGCCTCTGCAACGGGCTCGCCACCAACCACTCCGCATAGGCCTCCTTGGCACTAGCGCACACCTCCTCCCACCACATCGCGCTGTAGGTCGAGATGTCCTTCATGTAGTGGTCGATCGTGGCCATCCAGTCCCCGAAGGTCAGCGGGCTTCCGTCCCCCACCAACTCCGGCAGATCCGTAGCCCGTCCAGTCTCGTTGGCTGTAGCAGGGGCGCCACTGGCGCTGCTGGCTTCTCCTCCTCTGGTTTCCGGGCCTCGCCAACGTCCTTGGAAGTCGACCTCGACCTTGTCCACCTCGGTCTGCTTGCAGCCGGCTTCTCCTCCCTTGACGTAGACCTCGAGCGCCCCCATGCCGGCTTGTAACTCACCCCATCCATGACCCAACCATTTTCAGGGTTTGGCCATTCATGATCATAAGGGGGTGGATCCTGCGGCACCCTGGTGCCACCCGGCGTCATCTCCAGCTTTTGCCTCTTGGACCGAATTCCCGGAGGCGGTGGTGGAGGTGTTTCCGGCCTCGGTGGCTGCGGCTCCTCCTCCTGCTGCGGCGTGTGAAATTGCTGAGGCCGTTGTTCCAGCACCGTGATCTGATCGGTCAAGAGCTCCACGTGCTTCTCGGCCTGCCGCGCCCGTGATTCCCACAGCTCTGCCATCCTCCGGTTCTGCTCGGCCTCCGCCTCCACCACGATCTTCTCCAGCTCCAGTTGCTCCACCTTATGTCGCAGCTCATTCCGCTGCCGCAACGCCTCAGCCAGGTTCATGTTGACCGCCCCGTACTCCTCGATCATCACCCTGCTGAGTTCCCCCTCCAGACGGTCCTCAGGTGTCGCTGGCCTCCCCTTGTCTCCGGCGCTTCCTGCGCCATCCCAATCCTCTCCACCTCCACCTGAAGGCCCCTTGTTCCGCCAGCCCTCCTCCGGCGGACCCTCTCCTCCGATCCGCATCAAATCCCTCTTGACCGCCTGCAAGGCCACCTCCCTTTTCTCATCCGCCAACCGCTCCTCCGGCGATGAAGGCCCTGGCCCGATTCCTCTTTGCCGCTGCTTCTCCCTCCGCAGCCTTCAAAGGTGTCCTGACCGGCTCCTCCTCATCACCTGACTCCGGGACCGGGGGCAGTCCTTCCGGCCTCGCTTCACGAAGCCTCACCTCCTCCTGTACCCTCTTAGACCAAAAGGGATTTACCTCCGCTCCAGCCTTCGGGCCATCACCGACCCTTTCCAGAGAGCCCGATCTCCTGGATGCCGAAGGGCTCGACCTCGTGGTACTCCCTGGCTTAGATGCCATAGAGCTCTGCTCTGAAGCGCTCCTTCGCCTAGAGGCCGTAGAGCTCGATTCCCTCTCCACCAAAGGCTCATCATCCATGCCCGGCCTGAGGGCTCTCGGTCACGTCTCCCTCGTCCTTGATGAGCTCCTCGCCGATCTTGCCGTTGATGCCTCCCTGGTGGATGCACGGCCATCTGCCGAGTGAACCTCCAGGGTGTCATCACCCTCCATCGGCTCACCCATCTCAGGATCTTCTCCCTCGTCCGCCACCAGCTCGCCCCCGGCCAGTGCCCGGCTCTCCTCGACTTCCCTGCCAGGGCTTACCTGGCCGGACCGTCGCCGCCTCATCACCTCCATGTGCGCGAGCGGCTTGGGCTCATAACCTGCAAACCTCCGGGGCGTCTTTTCCTCCTTCAAAGCATTAAAGGGTCTGCGGGAATCGGTTCATCCGCATGGTCAACACGTGAAGTGCACATCTCATGCAGTTTCCAATGAACATGCTGGGGAAACTCCCAGGTGTGCGAATGCTTCGCGTGGGTTTTACGCCTTGCACGGACTAAAACTTCAATGCTCACAAGGGACACAGCCCCAAACAAACAAAGGTGGGAAAACATGGGGCCCGGTGGGGACAGGTACAAGCTGAAGCATTGTGCGCCGGTGGGGATCCTCTTCGGCCTGAAGTACCTTGCTTCGGTTGCATTTCGAGAGTGGTGGAGGGGGGGCTTCGGTGGGAACACTTTTCTTGGGTCATCAGCCTCTTACTTAGTTTATGGGCGTGTCTTCTTTAAGTGAGCGTTCTCGGAATGGTCCCCTTTTCGTTGTGCTCCTTTAAAACCAGGGAGTTCAGACAGGGGTCGTCGCGGTTTGTTGAGGGATGCCTTTTGGTGCGGGGGATGTTCCGTCGTTACTTGGATGACTTGGGAAATCATGGGATACCCCAGTTTGATCCTTCTCCTATTTCCCTGTTTTTTTTGGCCCACAAACTAGTCTATGGTTCTCAAGGGGTCCAGGTGCCATGGACACTGACGAGATGTGCAGCCAAGAAGCCCCAACAAAGTTTGTAATTTTGAGCCTCGGCACCCTTTTGGGGTAGGTGTAGAGGGAACTCCACAATTTTCCCGGTCGCCTATTTTTAAGACGCAAATGGATGTGAGCCACACGTGTCCATAGGGGCGCCAAACAAAATGTGTGAAAAGGTACGGGGTCACCAACTGGGGCCTGCAGCTGGTGCCGACTGGAACCCATTTGCTACTGCAAAGTACCGACGTGCCGCTCGGCTGAAGGACTGAGGGGCGAATGTGGACCCCCGAAAGTAGAACTCGTCCTGTTGATATATATATATATATATATTGTCTTCTCCAAAAGCGATAGTTCCCCACACCAAAAAGCTGGGGTTGAATATTCTGGCAATTGGGGTGAACCTAGCGACTTGGAAGCCTAATGGAGGTGGGCCGAAGACTAACGTTGGTGGCAAAATTAGATGCGTGAACTCCAGAGTTTGGCCAAAGGTTGCCAACAAATCTCAGGTTCCCTTGAAGAAAGCCAGAGGTTCTTTTGAGCAGTGTGGTTCTCGGAGCTTTTGGTCTTCTGTCGGGGAAACCCATTTTTGGTTTGTTTAGTTCAAACGCATCGTGCTGAACACGCGTGGCTTGGCATCACTATTGTGGGGTTTTGTTCAGGGTGTTGGCGTTGTGGAATCCTACTTGTGAGTGGGGATCCTCTACGTGATGTAGCCGTATGGGGATCTCACAGAAGGTCCTGTCACTTGTGTGCGATTTGCGTTGCAAAAGGTCCTTCGGGTGGGAAAGGTTCCTTTTGCCACCCGTTCAAGCTTTGCTGAAGTCAAGATGGTTTGAACAAATGGCTCGAGCTTTATTGTGAGAATGATGATTTGCAGCCAGGTTTTGATTGATCGGCTTTCAGCTTCCATTATCCTTTTGGTGTTCAAAAACAAGGACACCAAATTGGGATGAGCAAGATTCAGTTTTTCAACTGTGCTTGTGAACATTTTGCAAAACACAGATCTTGAAATGGGGGATTTTTCCATTCTTTGTCTCAGACGCCCAATCAGCACCCTGACCTTGCCAATTGTCCAGTCCTCGATTTTCAATTCCAGTACAGCCCAAGTTAGTGCTTTTCATGTTGACGCCTTCATTCGGGTTTGTCTTGGCATTTTTGAGATCGACCCGCACGGGCGCGTGTCTTTTTCGAGGGTTCGTTTTCAGCCAAAAGGAATATTGAAGTCCAAACCATATTTTGACGCATACCGATCTCACTTTTGAACACTATATCCAAAAATCACGGCACTGGCGTGTTGGCAAAGGCTACCACCCTGACACGTGCTTTTGGGTCCCATTTTGCAGGCTCCTGGAGAGGGCCCCCGGTCTGAGGCTGTGGACGATCCTCTTGGCCAAGTTTGCCAATCGGGAGGCCGGAAAGGGGAGGCGCACAGGAGTCTTTTTCATTGTTGGGGAAACCAAGAGGAGAAGCAAGAACAACCTTCAGGTAACCCGTGGTCCATTCGTTGTTTTTGATTTGGATTTGAACCCCTGGCTCATTTTCGGGTTTTGTGGGAAGGTGGTTGGTTTTCTTTGGTTCCCCTTTGAAACCGCCAAAATATGTCAATCCACCAGGTGCCCGTCAAACGGACTTAGTTTTCCCTCTTTCAGACGACCCCATAGGCCAAACCTCAATTCCGGGTGACAAACACTGAACAATTGGCGCAACATACTGCTGGTGTTTAAGGTGCCACAACATGGGTTTGTTTCTTTTTGAGGCTCGGTACCCATTTTGGTTGGTTTTGAAGGGAAACCAAAAGGAAAGCCGCCGAAGCCATTGTAGGGGGTGCTCGAAGAAAATACACACCCACATGTCCAGGGGAGGGCTGCCTTTGCAAACGGCACTCTTTTCACCCGAGTATCTGCCATGAACAAGTGGGGATAAAGAATCCGTCTCTGAGAGTGCTTTGTCCTTGTGCCCACGTGTCCTTCTTACCGATATGCTTGACTAATCTCCCCCGCCCCCCACATTAGGGCAATCCTGTGTGTAGCCTCTAGAAATCTCCTTTAAAGATCTCACGCCTTTTCCCCTCCCCCTGCCCCTTTCTCACCTCGTTGCGTGTTACGGTTGAGAAGAAAACCCCAAATCTCAACCCCCAGCCCATTCCCCACCCCCCCTTCCCCCCGCCAGCTCTCCCCTCACCCCCAGCTGTCCCCCCCCCCCACCCCGCCTCACCCCACCCCTCCCCTCCCCTCCCCCCTCCCCACCCCGCGTCCGGAGGACCTGGGCCTCACGGAGGCCTTGGCGGCGCTCTTGTCGGCCTCCGGCTCCGCGCTCATCGGCTGCCACGCCGCCGCGGCCCTGGAGGCGCCCTTCCTGCCGCTGCTCGCGCCTTTGCCGCCGCGGCGTGCGTGGGTCAGTCCCGGCGTCGAAAAGAGCGGGGCATTCCAATGGGCGGCCCTGGGAAGTGGGAAGGACCAAGACCAGCTTTTCTTTTCTTTGGTGGTTTAGTTTCGATCCATGCCCGAGTTAGCTTAGGTTCTAACGGTAGAATCTGGGGCTATGGGACCCAGTTGTGAGTTTTTCCTGAATGCGGGGTTCAAGCAAGAGGGTGAAGAGCCCCAAGTGTCCCACCACTTACGAACTTGGCCGAACATCTAAGTAGACATGTAGGATTCAACCCCTCCGCATCCCCCCCCCTGGTTTCCAAGCTTAGACCTTATGAAACAGACCTTACGGTCTTGTTTGGAGGATACTTCGAGGTGGCGGGGAATCTGACGGAATTGGACGGGGGGTAAAGTTAAGGAGACATCAAGCGGAACTAAGGGGAAGCACGGATTCCTAGTTTGCAAAATCCTCGATGTGTGTGGCTCGTTTATTTTGAGGTGGTGCGCCATCTTTTAGGTGGTTTGAAAGGGAAGCCAAAAGGACATAGAAGCCATTTTAGGTCAAAATAGGAATTCGTAGCCTCAAAATGATTGCATTCCTTTTCAGTTTCCCTTGAAACCGGTGCCATCAAAAGAGCATAAATAAGACAAGAGGAGCAAAAGGAAGCTTCAGTCACTGCAATTTGCCAGATTTGGTTTTAGGTCAGATGTGCAGTTTCCACGGCTCTTGAATCTTTCAACTTGCGGTGCTTAAACGCTGATGCTTGGTTTGACCGACCAGCCGAGCGCCGCCAAGCCGCCAAACCGCCAAACCTTCCGATTGAGGTGAACCTATTGCCGCCGTTTCTACTGGCGCTCTGTGTGTCCACCTTGCGGATGGGCGCCAAGGAGGGAGGTCCGCCATCGCCTCCAGAGTTTGTTTTTCGGCGCTTGGGCCTGCGTTTGCGCACAGGGGCCACACAATCCAACCCAATCGGCCACGAAAAAGGCGGGGGTGCACATGTTGGCTTTTTAAACTAAGAGTCTGAATCCCGCCGGCCCAAAGCGCGCAAATGCAGATCAAGTGGGGCGTGCTTTTTGATACACGGAACCCCAAAGGCCACCGTCCTTGGGACATTTTTTTTTGGGTTTCCAGGTGGGTCTGTTTTTGGGAACCCTCTTTTTGTTGGTTTTCAAGGCAATCCAAAAGAAACAGGGGGTCCCAATAGAAACGACGCACCCGTGTGAATGTCCACTTTGTGGGGCGGGTCCACAGCGTGGAGCGTCGGGAATTTGCAGGAGCTGTTCCGGCCAGAGAACCGGCTCGGGGGCTCCATGACTCCTGCGGAGTTCACGGCAATCAAGCCGTTTGGCCGAGATCGGAAAATTCGAAGAGTCAACCAGAAGCCGACGTGTTTTTTTTGGTTCCCCAGATAGCTGGAAGCTATAGGGGTTCCAACTTCTACCAAAGAAGGGAAAGTGATTTGCGGGTGTGATGTTCTTTTTCAAATGAGAGTGAATCTTTCTTTCCCCAAGAAAGGGCTAGGAATTCAATGAGGACTGTTCCGAAATCTGATGTCCCGCAGGGTCCCGATCTTTTGTTATTCACAGATTCGCCACAGTTTCGCAAAACAATCGCAAGAACATGCTCAGTGGAAGGGGTTGGTTCTGAGTTCCAGGTTCAGCTGCAGGTCCAGATGCTGATGCTCCTTTTTCTTGTTTGACAAGGAGCAATTACTTGTCAACTCGGCATGGCCCCAACCAGTTGGCTTTCGGATTTTTGTTAAGCCTTTTCTTATCCAGGTTTCGTCAGCTTCCCCTACGGCACATGTCGTAACTCGTTGTTCTTCCCCCTCCCCCCCACGCAAGCTTTGTTTGGTCCGCCAAAGGCCTCTGGAGGGTAAAGTGAAACGGACCCAGTGCGCCCGGCCACCTTAGCAGGTGGTTCTAATGGTTGGGGAAGAAGCTGGGAGCATGGTAAATGTCTGAATC